GCTGTTGAGGCAGTACTGTGAAAAATATCGTAATTTACAATTTTTTTGTAAACTCGAATTATAATTTAAGTTGTAAATTTACGAGACGATCTTTTTTACTTGCCAATGGATTTTAAGTCGATACGTACTATGTATTTTTTAGATTTCAAATTGTAATTTTACAACTTGTGTCAAGGAAAATTTTCCTGTAAACCTACCCAATATTTTTCACAGTGTGCATGATGCGCAATTTTATTGAAAATATTCGACGGTATTTAAAGTATTCATTTCGTGACATAAGTTTGTGTGCGTTTGAACGTTGGCGCGCGCGCGTGTATGCGTGTGTGCTTTGTGAGTCGGAGTCTGTGTCGCTTTGGGCTTTGGCTTGACCACCGCGACCGGCTGAGGTTGAGGAGGGTCCCGTCATGGTCTCGTCCCGGTGCCGAGGGTGGGGCGGGGCGTCGCGACTGCCTTATTGCCGCATTCTTTTGCACGCGACCCCCGGCGGGAGCCTGCGTCGCCCGCTGGCATCTCTTTAGCGCCCGCCTGTTCGAGCGAGGCGAGAGGCGCGGCGGGGCCAGGCCTGCTCGTCGCGCGTGCAGCTCTCCTAACCTCAGTGTAGTTTACCCTGCAGCCTAACCAAACCTAAGTTCCCCTAGCAACCTAACCTGAGTTCCCCTAGCAACCTAACCTAAGTAAACGTAGCAACATAACCTTTACCTTATTCCACCTAGCAACCTAACCTTAGTTCACCTAGTAACCTAACCTAACCTAACCTCAGTTCACCTAGCAACCTAAACTAATATTAGCTCACCCAGCAACCTTATGTAACCTAAATTCACTTAGCGACGTAACCTAACAGATCACATAGCAACCTAAATAATTTTACTAAATCCCCGCAATACAATACGGGTTTGGAAAACCCCGTATCAGGGTCGTTGCAGTTATACTCAGGCGTGCAGGTGGTGTGAGGGGGCCGGTGCACCGTGTGTTTCCTACTTACAATTTTTTTGTGACACAAATTGCCTACTTTTCAGGTGGCTCACTAGAGAGAGGGGGGGTCGGCTATCGGCCCCCGCTCCCGTCCATTTATACCCGCACCTGGTTATACTGTACCTAATCTAACAGTTTGCCTAGCAACCTAAACAATCTTACTAATGCATCTGTAATTGGCGGTTTGGAAAACCCGTATCGCAGTCGGACGTTGCAGTTACTGTACCGTTTGTTCGCTCGCATGTTCGGGTGTTGTATATAAGTCGAGAAGGTGCACTTACACTAACGCTTGCATGTGGTACAGGATAACTCATAATCCGAACTTGCAGCACTTTACCCATCTGGAATTTGTTAAATTCTCACTCATAAAATTTCCTAATTTACGCAATGAAATGCACCCTTACACTAAGGGGACTTGCTCGAAGGCTGGGTAATCAGGAGTAAACACTTGTAATTGTTGGTTCAGTTTATTTGATTGCTTTTCGAGTGACACCTTGATTGCAAAATGGCCACTATGCTATGCATAGCACCCAGACTGAGCAATTGAAATAAACTAGTTTCTATGACGTGTACGACATCGCTGTGCTTACTTACGTAAACACAATGCCAACCACGTCGCGCGGGCCGGAAACCGGGGCAAAATAAAACAGCTCTGATTTGAGTGTCGACGAGTTTCACTTTGGCTCACTGTATATGTCGCGATGTCGAATGCATGCGAAAACGAGAACTTACTCTCTCTACACTACAAAATAATGTCATGTGTGTGAATGTGTTAGAGTGTTAGAGGGAAGGGGGGAGCGAGAGAGAGAGAGAGTATGTGTGCATCGCCGGCCTGATTAGACGAGTATTCCATTCTGTTGCAGACTGTCGGGTCGGGATTGGCCGAAGGTCACATCAGTGGTCGCCAGAGTCCGCCGGCAGTGCTAGAACGCCAGGTGAGCAATATTATATAAAAGAGAAGAAAAAGAAACGCTGGGCGGGCCCGTCCTGTTTGGGTCCGGCGCCCCAATGCCGACTCGTCTGGGGCGCGGGACCTTGAGGCGGTGGCAGCCGGTAGGGTCAAGCCAGCTGAGGAGCGTTTAATAATTCGCAGCGATACTTTCGCACTCCCCTGAAATGGCGGCAGCTATACTCTCGTCTGCAGGACCTCGGTACCCCCGTTGCTTTGTTAATGCCGGCGACTTATTTTGTGTTTTAGCCTGCACACGAAAGTTTTCACGAGAGTTTCGCCTAGCAAGTACTTGTGAGTTTTGTGCTGTTGTTACAAATCTTAACAAATTAAGAAATTATGCAGTGTTACTAACAATTTTACCTAGTATTACTAAACGTTTAACGTTTTCCTAGCCTAGCACCGTATGTAATACTAGGGAACGTTTTGGCTTACTACAAAAGTAAAGTAATATTGAAGAATATTTTGATAAGGTACAACAGCACAAAACGCTTAGTATGTAGTTACTACCCAACTTTCTTTGTAAAAAAAAAAAATACAGTTCAATAGCCCATTTCTCAGAGAACATATTTTTGGCGTCTAATCTCACCATACATTGGCACCCAAGCCTGGGCTGGAAATCGTTCAATATGAACTGTCCAAATTGGTAATTGATATGAAATTTTCTACGGTTTTTGCGAAAAAATACAGAGGCTTCATACTATTTTACAGTGTTTGCTGAAAGCTGTGCTGCACCGCCTCGCAAACAATTATTTATGTCCGTGTGAGGGAATCTTGGTTGTGTCAGGATGAGGGGCGGGACGAGCAGGAGGACGGGTGGCTGGAATTAGGGAAATGGGCGCGCAACAACAGTAGCGAGGCTGCCCTTCCCATCGTCGAGCGCTTCTAGCCTTAAATCATGGTGGCGGCGCCCTGCCCAAGGGTGCGTGAAATGTTATGGAAACACGTGTTGGGCGCGTATGCAGTGAGGAGCTGCCCGGCCTAACAACTCTCTTCTAAACAAGTATTATTGGCTGTTCACGTTATTGTGCCAGCTCTCATCGCCGAGATGTAAAGGTTTTTGCTATTTAGGAAAAAAATACTGTTGTGAATATCGCTTAGCTGCCTCTGTTAAGCGCTTTGCAGTGCAGTCATAGCTACAAGCAGTTTGCTTTTGCTGCTGCTTTTTAATTGCTGATGTATAGCAAACTCACAATGTAAATTGGTAACGATTCCAGCCGCGACCAGCTAAGTCTTTCCTCTTAGATGTTGTTGTCTCTCAGAGCCGTGTGGTGTCTGGTGCAGTCTGCGCGGCACACTAACCAGACCTGATCGTAACCTGGTGAAGCTGAGTAACCTCCCGACCCAATCGTGTGAGAGCGGCCTCTGCCGTCGATGAGCAATTCAGCTCTGCGGCTGGACTCGTGTGTCAAATTAACGCATGAGCGCTCGTTTACTGTCGCCCGCGCACACAGGTGCGTGCTCGCCTCTGTGTGTGTGTGTGTGTGTGTGTGTGTGTGTGTGTGTGTGTGTATGCGTGTGGGTATACGTGTGGGTATGGGTATACTGTGTGTTAGCACGCACGCAAGTCACGTGGTGTGTGGTGGAACGCGCGCCGGCCCGATAGTCTAGTCTGACATATGTCGTGAGTTAGATGGGTGTCGGATCGGCCGAGTTTACCGCGACCTGAGGGATATCTCATTAGTGGTCCGGTGCGTCGTTGCACCGCTACGGACCCGGTCTCTCTCTCTCTCTCTCTCTCTCTCTCTCTCTCTCTCTCTCTCTCTCTCTCTTTTTCTCTCTTTCTCTCTCTCTTTCTCTCTCTCAAACACACACACACACGCACACGCATACTATGTCGCTGCCCCATTACGTAT